GTTATTTATGCGGAAATAAAAGTTTTCCATTCATAGTCTGTATTTTTAGCTGTATTGTTGCCATTTGACCTGTCGCAGTTTGAATCCACATCAACCTTATGTATTTCATTGTTCAAAACCCCAACACACAATTCAGATGGCTGTCTACATGAGAATTAAAATCTTAATTTTTTTTCCACGGGGTTTATTTATTAATCCTTCTTATTGTCAGTATATTGCTCTCTCTACTCAAAAGAAAACCTTCTTATGATTACCAATAACAAATAGTGTCACATGTGGAGGAAGCAATTTAAAAAGTTTGCCACCACCAACATTGACCATATCTGTCATATGCCCACTATCAACACCCTTCATGTCTGAGGGAAATTTCTAGGGCCCACGTCCATCTTTCCCTTCTACCTGTATGATATTTCTGCTTTTCTTCATTATTTTTTTTGGGGGGGGGCGTTGATCTATTTCAAAAATTCTATTGAGAAGCTTCTTGATCTTTTTGTTGTTGTTGCCTGTGATGTTTGCCTGGGAGGTAGTGGAAGAGGTATTGATAGAAATGTTAGTAGTGCATTAGGCTTGTGTGAAGGAGTGGGCAATTTTTTTTTTTTTGTGAGTGGATAGATGCAGGAGTGGAAGAAGTCCAGGTGGAACTGGGAAAATTATTTCAGTAATGAGTCTGTGTTGTTTGGGTGATGTGAATGCTGAATTGTTATTTTTCCCTGGGGAGGGGAGGTAACTTCCACCATTGTCCTTTTGTCGGTATTTTTCTTGAGCAGCTTTATCTTCAGGATCTTTGTTTTTCTCTCCTAGGCTGGCCCATATCCCTCATTTTTAAGGTGTCCACATACACTTTTAGATGTCTCTCTTGTACTGTTAAGATTGGGACCCAACAAGGGCTGATGTGTTGATGACTGTTTTTTGCTCCTATTCTGCAACAGTTTCCATTCTCCTTCCACATTGTAGTTTGCAGCCTATTTGCATGTGGGTGACTTCTGAGGACAGTGTAGTAATAGTTTTCCTTAGACTTGTTGTGACCATTTCATCTGATGGCATGATAATTGAACAGCTTCCTTTTTCTCTGTTCATTTTTTCTTTTTTTTAATGAGTCTGTTACCTACATAACTAGCATGCCAGTTTTCCTCTGCATACTATTACTGGTAGTCTCCATCCATTTAGCTTCAGCCAATTTGAAATAGCATTAAATGCTTTTTCTTCCATCTTGTCCGTATCTTCCTTTGGGAGGAAGATACGTTTTTTTTTTCATATTCTATAAGCAAGAAAAGCTATTTTTATTGACATAATGAACAGTAAGGGTAAACATTACATGTGTCACTTAGTTATATGTTCTTGTAATCTGGGTACCACCACAGACTTATAAAAAAAAATAACTTAAGATATGCTAAAGGGGTATACTTAATGAAACTTAAAAACAATGTTTCATTCTCAAAATCTTTGTGCTTATTAAGAGGAAAGATTAAAGGATTTTTGGTTATTAAATTATATTTTTTAATCCTTTTTTTTTCAAACCTCCAAAAATAATAACAGTTGTAAAAATGAAAAAAAAAAAAAAATTTCTTTAAAAAAAAAAGTTCACAGCCCAAAATGTCATTAAACTTAATATTTTTGGATTCTTCAAACATGTATCTAATAAAAAACTCTTGTCACAAGCAGCAATGAGATGAATTTCAAAATCACACTAAAAAATTTACAATTTAAAAAAAAAAAATATTGAATGTAGATTTTTACTGGTCAAATTTTAAAGAAAATAATGTTTTATTAAATTATACAAACATTATCTCAACAAAAATTGTCATCAAATGATTTTTGGTAAGGTTCAAACTTGATATTTATTTTTCTTAAAAATATGCAATATCAGGATCAGTTGAAATACCATGTAAAAAAAAATCATACAGGAGATACATTATATCATTGTGAAGTGTGCAGTGATGCTTTTCCTATGAATTGTATATTAAAATCTCATATGGAAACCTGTACTAGAGAGACTTATTCCTTTTACTGTGAATGTCGTAAGGCTTTTCATAGAAATAATATGTTACAAAAACATTTGAGAATCATACATGAGACATTGTATAATTGTACAGTGTGTGATAAAGCTTTTTCTAAGTTTAACTTAGAAAATCATAGAATTCATACTAGAAAAACTCCATTTGAGCGTGAAGCTTTTTAAATGATATATATAAAGGTTTTCATCCCTACTTACCTACCTCTGATATGTAAACGATTTCTATATGTAAAAGATATCATCCCTGTTTACCTATGATATGTAAAATATTTCATCCCTACCTACCTATGATATGTAAAAGATTTCTTATAAAACAATGATTTGAAAGAATTCAGGAGAAAAAAAAAAAAAAAATCAGATGATACTATTTGTATCAATTTATGTAAAATATTTATCAAAATATTTTCTACATCTCATAAGCTTTCCTTCTCCTCATTTAACAGCATTACTTCATTATTTGTTCAAGCTGTTAAATTACATAATAAAATCAGATTTAAGAAAACTACAGGAACTCCGGTACAAAGTAATAAATGAAAGCAGATAAAAAAAATTAATCATTTAGTTGTAAGAAGAAAGTCCTTGAATATGGCTGTGAATGTTGGACAATTTCTTCACAGATGAAGAAGAGATGAGGTAACAGGGATTTGGTTATATAGAATGATGCTGAGAATACAATAGACAGAATATGAGGAAGTTTTAAGAAAAATAGGAATGACAAGCACCTATACTTAGAATCAGAGAGTGCCAACTAAAATTTCTGGGATATGTAATGAGGAAAGATGGCTTGGAGAATTTGACACCCACAGGAAATACTGAAGGCAAGAAAAAGACAGACAGTGTGCAACCTATCTAATGAGTTTAGGTAAATGGATGGTAGAACAGGAAATGAGAGGGATAGTAAGGAAACAAATATTACTTAGAGTTTCAAATGTTGTGAAGAGTTATGAATGTTATGAGTTATGAATGTTATGAATGTTATGAGTTATGAATGTTATGAATGTCAATGTTCTAAAAGGACAACAAATAAAAGAAGATTGTGATTTATCAGTTTGTTAGACATCACAACATGTGACTATGCATTACTTATTTCATTGATAACTTATGTTCCCCTCATGAAAAACATAAAAATGAATGATATTTTATACATCTCAGTTTAATGATAAATGTGTTCAGATGTGGGTTTCCTCCAAAAATAAACTTGAGTTATTTTATTTGAATAACTTTTTAAATGTATAGTAAAATTTAAGCAAAAATGAATAGTGTGTAATAAACACAAGATGCAGCAGGGAATGTGCTTGGCATCCCACAGACATGAAAACATGTATAAAACTCAAACAGCAGCTAGCACCAGGAACACAGACATGCAAAAATTGGATAAGATGTGCATGCGTGTGTGTAAGAAGTGTGTGTGTGTGTGTGTGGGGGGTCATGATTATTAGAAATACAAGTAATGCTAACTTTAAATCTTAAAAGTAGTCATGTTCAGGTTAATTACAGAATAATGATAAACTGAAATTGAACATAAATGTTGCCTTAAGCAGCCTATAAGCAAAGTCAGAATAATTTCACAAAACCTATTTCACTATTGATTTCTATTGACGTGGCAATATTTTTTAATAAAATTTAAAACATTGATATTTATTCCCATTCTAAATAAGCTTCATGTAAATATTAAAATCTCACACCGCAAATAGTTTGTAAATATGTTACCATAAATCTTTTAGTATCTATGACATATTAAATGTAAAATATTGGATGTTGCTGCTTCTTTCAGCCCAAATAAAATTGTTTCTCTATCTGAAATGTTCCTCTATTAATATTGTCTAGCAGTAAATCTCTATTAAATAATGAATATTGGTTGCTTAACCAATGTAAATGCTTTAAAATGTTGTCATCTTAAAAAAGAAAAATTCTAGATGTACATATTGATCCAATGGTGAACAGTTATTATAGTCACATATAAGCAGCCTTATATATTTCTACTATATTAGAAAATAAAGCATGACCTGGTGATAATTTTAAATCCACATAGAAGATTAAAGGGAAGCATGTTAGCTGCTCTCCTTCAAAAACCAACAAGAAAGATAAACAATGGATAAATATATTTTTATTATAATTTTCAGTTTTTTCAAATACAAAAAATCCTAATGGCAATTTTGTAAACATGGAGTAATAATTCTGGATTTGTCAACACTTCAAGTTATTGTAAAAATTTGTAGTTGTGCTTAAATTAAAGAATAAATTAGACATTTGCATCTCAATAATTTAAAAATATGTTGCTTCACAAGGCTTATATTTTCTCATCTGGTCATTTAAATACTCTAAATGATCACCATTTGTTTTAAAATTAAAGCTATTATTTCCTACATATGAAATTGTTGCACTGAAAGATACATTCTTGAAGTGGTTAGATGAAAAAATTTGATTTGATTCAGTAAATTGGAACCTATAAAAAATTTGACAACAAATGAATTTGGTAAAAAAAGAGAATATTTTAATTATTTCATGATTTTTAAAATTTTATTCAATATCAGTTTCAATCTTTTTCTTTTTATGAGTTGAATCCTTAAAAATTTTGGATGTTTTCATGCAAATTTTATCCTATGTATAGAAAAAAATGTAGTAATTCTACATAGGGTTTGGTACCATCCATAATTTCAGGCTATGTCTCAAGTCTTCCAAGCCTTGGAACATATCCTTTGTGGATGATCATTTAAAAAAGAAAAAAAAGTGTAAAGATAAAATATATAAAATATATATAAATATATATATATAAAAATATTTTCTTTAGGAATGAGTGAAGTAAAAAAAATTCAGTTAATAAAAATCAATTTTCATAGCAAAACTAATAAAACTAATATTTTGTCAGTGATGAAAACTTTGAAATGTGTTTTGTGAAGAGGGCAATAATTCAAACTTTCTTCACACTAAATCTGTAATCTTGGTAATTTTGTCAGTAGCTTTTCCGCATTATACTTATTATTTATTATTTTTTTTTGCTTCGGAACAGAGATTCTAGCGCAATCATTGGAGCTTCAAACGCCATTGACACCACAAAAGCAACAAGATATGACATCACCAAATGGCCAAAGAATAAGTAGATCTGAAATAGAAAAATGGTAACAAAATTTTAGAAATAAATTGTTGTCAAAAAATGAAACAAAATCAGTGGATAAAAAAAAAAAATAATAATTTTTCAAATATTGTTTTATATAAAATAAAAGCCCACTTCTTTTTCATTTCATTTTTAATTTAATAGTGGAAACTTGGTTACCATACACCTCTATTATCATACGATTTGATTATCATTCATATTTTTCTAGCAAAAATATGTCTCCTCAGTTATGAACCTGTACATTATTGTTCGCTTGCTACAACATGACTTCCTCAAGCACAAAGAGACAGAGAAGTGAAATAACCCCCAGAAAAAAAACTTACCAGAAGTCTTTATGGAGGGGGATTCCCCTGCCAAACAATAACACACCTCCTCCCTCCCAATCTTCACCATCTTACATATGCCAACAAGAGTCTTTAATAAAAGTAAAGTGAAGTTAAATGTTCATTTATTCTATTTGGTTGTCATTTATATTTATTTCTTATTGTTTTATGCATGTAAAAATATAGTTATTCTGTACAAAATGTACTTTTTGTTAATATTTTTGGGTGTTTGAAATATTGGATTTACAATACATTATTTATTATGGGAATATTACCTTGGTTTTCATGCATTTAAATTTTTGGGCAACTTTTTGGAATGGATTATGGCTGATAACCAAGGTTCTGCTGTCCATTCTTTGGAGAAAGTCAATTTTCACTCACAATTCATTCTTGAGTCCAGCTAGAATACACACCAGTTTAACTAACCTTCAAAAGTTATTTAAAAGTTCAAAGATATTTTTTATAGTAAATTCAAACTTACACAAATTCAGTACTTAATTCAGTTGTTTTTATGAAATAGAATCTCCAGAAATAACACTAATGCACTAATTGTATTTCTTGAGTAGGAAATATACATGAAGATAAAATTGTCTCTCTCATATATATAGGTTCGGGGTTAATGTATCATATTTATATTGTTTGCGAAGATGTATTCTCGCCATTTAAATCATTAACCTCTATATTTGTTTTTTGTATGAATGATTCATGAATTTATATATATATATATATATATATATATATATATATATATATATATATATATATATATGTGTGTGTGTGTGTGATTCACAGACAGTATAATTTATTTATTTATTACACACACACACACACACACACACTCAGAAGTTTGGCCCATTAGTGACAACCATGAAATTATACCCAAGAGACTGCATAGTTTATTAAAAACTACAAAATGAAAAGACTGAAACATTTAAAGAGCAGTAACTTTAAAAAAATATTAACGTTATTTTTGGCATTTAACTTAGTTATTTATCCTGCAAAGACTGTTACATTGTCATGGAAAACAGGAAAAACCAAGTTTGAGAGAACCAACATGAAATGTGATGATTGTTTATTAGGTATCAGAATGTGGTCAAAAGAAATTAGCAACTCTGTTTTGGGACGTAATTTCAGATTGGTCATTTCTTCCCTCTACACTGGTTTCTCGGTATTTATTATTGTTCTCTTCCCTGTATCCGCTTCATTATTTGTTCATTGATTCATCCTATGACAGCTGCACATATTGTATGATGTACCCTGACAGAAGACACTTCTCATCTCTACAATGGTCTGCTTATAATCACGAGTCACCAATCAAAGCCCGGATGATAAACATACTAAACATACGGGCACTTCAGAATGGAGCACTAACACACCCGGATGTCCCTCCTCAACTCAATTACGCTAATATTATGTAAATTTGCTAATGACCCAATTACAACAAAGAAGGGTCTTCTTTGATGGAATGGTGCATTTGCCTTCTTTCAAATTGACAAAGACAAACTCTTTTGTTGAGAATAAGGTAAGTATTGTTCACCATTTCTGCCATTCGACTGATTCTGGTTCACTATGTCTGCTACACAGAAGAAAGAGAATGAGAAAGGGGTTAGGGAGAAAATGGATATATCAGGGAGCAAGAATCACGTTCCTTAATGTCGATTAGTGAGCATACATAAACTGTAATGCAAAGGGAATAGACATTAAACAATAATGTAACATCTCCGCTTTTGTAAGTAGAAACTACAGTCTCATGTACAGTCCTTGACCAGTTTGATGTAGTCCTTCATATATGTGTGAATCCCAACAGGAGATTCACATTTTTCTGGTTTGGTTGTATTTCTGCCTTTGCTTGCAACAGCTGAGGCTAATGTGGACAGTGCTAGAGGTGCAGGGGCTTTTTGTGTTTTTACCATGTCATGTGGCAAACTTAGAGTATCTGTAGGGGTTGGTGATGGCTGACCATTTTTTCCATGCTCTACTTCAAAATCCTATTTTCCAGAGAAGTTCTTGAAGGATAAAGAGGTAACTTGTGGTCCTGTGTCGGAAATCAACTGACATGGAATCCCATATCTTGCAAAGTGTGCCTTCAATTTGCGGATAACAGTTGAGGCAGTAGTGTTCTCAAGTCAATCTACTTCCCAGAAGTTTGAAAAATAGTCAACGCTGTCAAATTCAAATAAATCAACATCAACTTTCTGCCATGGACAATCAGGTATGGCATGCGGCATCAGATTGTTCTGTTGTGAACTTGCAGCAACTTTCATATGTGGATATTTATTCCCATCTGTCCGATGACATGCCTGACCAGAAAACATTCTCTAGCCCACCATCAACATTCATCAATGCCTATGAGCAATGAGTGAAGTGAGTGTTTAATCTCAGTCTGCAAACTGAGAGAGATGAGTACTTGGTTACCTTTAAATATGAGACATCTTAGTGGACATCTCATCATGTAGTTAGAAATATGAGTGTAGTATAGCTGGAAGATGTTTTATCAGGCAGCCACCCCTATAATATGTTTTTTTTCAGCTGATCACATATTTTGTCCTGGTCTGTTGCTCTGCAGATCTGCACAAGCCTTTCGTCACAGATTGAAAGGAAGCTGACCATATTCATATGCTCAAACTCTGTTTGATAGTGTTTCTCATAAGTTAAATATGACCATGATTGCATGCCTGCAATGTACATGTTCTTTCTGTGAACATATACTATATTGATGCTGTATTTTTGGGTCTGTAGTAACATTCCCTGTAGACAGGTGCTTTAGTGAGGGGTTTCTTCATGATAGCCTCTAATGATTTGTGACCAGCATGAATTTCTGTTCTTTTACTATTGTATAATATTGGTGTAGTGGTGAAATTTCTTTAATGAGAATACTATTGCAAGCATTTCTTTTTCAACTTGTGTAAATCTCTGCTCTGTCTCAGTGAGGGCTCTGCTTGCATATGTGATAGGCTTTCCTTGCTGTAGTAGGGCTGCACCAAGTCCTTCTGAGTTTGCATCACACTGAATTAAAAGTGGTGCGTTTGGGTCATAGAAATTGAGTACTGGAGCTTTTGTCACAAGCTGCTTCATTTCTGTGAATGCTATGTCATGTACACAAGACCATGTCCATGGAACATCCTTATGTATCAGTCATTGGATTGGCTCCATGACAGGATAGTTGTGGCAGAAATCTTGCTAGGTAATTTACAGTTCCACAGAGTCACTGTACTTCTTCTGCTGAAGTAGGTAGTTTAAATTTGGTGACATGCCTGACCAGAAAACTGGTCAATTTTAGTAGGGTCTAGTAGTAGGCCATCATGAGTTATGAGATGCCCCATGAAGCTGATTCCTCGAGCTGAACCTTTTCTTTGTTCAGTTTGATTTTCTTCTCTTGGCATCATTGTAGTAGCAATTTCAGATTCAAATAATGGTCTGCTGATACTTGATTGTATTTGTTTCCTGGATCAAATACAATGATATCATCAGCAACACATACAACTCTATACAGGCTGTCCAGAGTAAGGTGAAGACATTTCTGAAACATTTCAGAACTCACACATGGGGAGTCTGAGACACTGATATTGCCCAAAACTAGTTTGAAATTTAGTTAGGTAGCTGGATTCATTGTCCAATATTGCATGTCAGTAGGCTGATGCCACATCTAACTTGGTGAAGTATTTTGCATTTGTTAACCTCGGTTGTACTTCATCCATGGTAGCTAACTTGTATCATTTACACTTCAGTGCATTGTTCAAAGGTCTTGGATCAATGCAGATATGATTTTCACCCGAGCTCTTTGTTGCAGTAATCATTCTGCTAATCCAATCTGTAGGTACATCAACAAGAGTGATAACCCCAAGTCTCTCTAGTCACTTTAGTTTCTTTTTAACTTGAGGGATCATGGACACTGGAATGCATCCTGCTGCAGTATATGGTGTGACAGTTCTGTCAACTTTTAAATGCACCTGCCCAGGTAATGATCCTAGTTCGCAGTTGAAAACATTTGCATAATCTATTAGTAACTGCTTGCACTCTGGTAGTGATCTAACATTAGTAATTTTATCATAGTACACAGTTATTAGGTCCATCTGTTTATTTGCACATTTTCCTAACAAAGGTGACAAACTCTCCTTGACTAGAGTGAATTCCATTGAATATCTTTTCATATTTTTGGGGTTGCGCTGCACAATGTGGTATTTTCCAATGGACGCTAGCTCTGTCCTGTTCCACATTTTGAGTTTCAAGGTAGACAGTTGCAGATAAGTATTACATACGTATTTCTGCGGGATTACATTGATGGTAGCTCCACAGTCCATTTGAAACTTCACCTTCATTTTTCTACCATTATATTTGCATAGATAATGTTATCTGGCTGCTCTCTCTCTCTGAGATTACACATAACACATATTCACATTTAGTGTCACTAGAAGAATTTGAAAAAACACAGTTAATTTTATCTTTAGTCTTAACCTCTGTTTTTCCCATAGAAAGCTTCCTCAGACATTACTGAGCAAAATGGTTTCTATTGTTGTAAAATTTATATTTTTGGCCCCACGCAGGACATGATTCTTTCTGTTTTTCATGTGTCTTGTCACAGAAATTACAGTCTATTTGTCCCTGTTTAGTGCTGTATTTCTGTTTGTAACTTAGTTTTTGCACTCTCTTTATTTTGTCTGTCATGTTCAAGTCTCTCATAAGTTTCAACTTTGGCATATGTCAATACATTGTTGGAGATATAGTGTTGAAAGCTAGAGCATTCTTTTACGTGCCTTTTGTCTCTTATACCTAGCATTATGTGGTCGCATAACAAAGAATCATATAAATATTCACAAAAATTGCTAAGTTCTAAAGTGTAGTCAGGTATGAATCAATGTTCTCATCTTGTTCCTGGTCTCTGTTGTTGTTCATACATATTGTTGGTCTGTCTGATAAAATGTTGATCAAATTTGGCTATTACCGTGTCCCAGTCATCTTTGTTGATACAAATTGAAAACTGTTGTAAACTATTAATGCATCTGGTTTGATAGCATGAAGAAATAATGCTATTTGGTATTCCTTATTTTGTTTTTGCAGTTTGGTCAACATCTGTTTCCAGAGCTTGCATCCTTCTGAATCATTAGTATTAGTGTCCAGCTTGCCCAGTGGTGATATGTTTGACTGGAATCTTTCTGCACATTTTTACATACAGTCACTTTTTTTTCACAGTGTTATTGTCACTCCAAATGCTGGATGCCACTGAAAAAGCTTACATGGGACTACCTTTTTGTTAGTATCAGTCCTCATTTGCAAGGTTGTAAAGTGTGAATTGCTTCCTCACTGTCACCATGTTACATTAAGTCATAGAAAATGTAAAAAAACAGATTTGAGAGAGCTGACACAAAACATGACTGGCATTTATTAGGTACTGGAAGAAAGAGAATAAGAAAGGGGTTAGGGAGAAAAAAAGGACATATAAGGGAGCGAGAATCACATTCTTTAATGTTGATTAGGGGGGATACATTAAACTGTAATGCAAAGGGAGTATACATTAAACAATAATGTAACAAAGACTGATTTTAGACTGATTGAATTTAAGTTAGTTTCCCCTCTTAAACGCAACATCTACAAATACTGCAATTATTCCTATATAATAAGCATCCCTAACTTTGGGCTCCAAAATTCTGGAAAAAACATCTCTTGCACTGACTTTTTAAATTCTGTAGCAGCTAAATTTATCTTAAATGTAACATTTAACTTTTTATCTGATTTGTATAAGAACTGATATATATATAAAAACACAAAATTTACATAGTATTTAGATTAAATGTACTGACATGATCACACAAAAAATTCTTGTGGCAAAAATAAGCTGACACTAGGAGAAATAAAATTATAAATACACTCACAATCCAATAATTATTTCTCTGTAGCCATGTAAAAGAGGAAGAAGGTGAATATGACTTTGTGAACAATAAGATCAAAGATGACAAAGACATCTACTATGCTGACAAATTAGTTATTTTAAACCTTAGATATAATTTTCAGTCATACTGTCCCATATATGGTGATGTATATGGCCAGAAAAAAAGTTAATATTTTTTTCTCATGTATAATACACACACCTTACTTTTAGGCTTAAACATTTAGAAAAAAGCATAACTCTTAACACAAATAATAAGTTAAGAGCCTAAAATTGTCTAAATTTTGGGGCAAAGAGCTTTTAACTCTCTTGCTCATATAGGGAAAGTTTAAAATTCTTTGGATATATAAGAAAGAGATTTGTCACATTTTTATTGTCCAGATTTATATAATGAGCTATCATAACAACAAAATCAGTCCATTGTTAACACAACAGTGTTAAAATGCTTTAACATGGAGAATAAAGAAATTTCCAGTACAATTGAACCACTGCTTTTCAAATAATTTTTCATTAAGTATAAATTATAAAAATAAAATTAAAAATAAAGATGTCTTTCCCAAGTAGATAACTCTTAATCTATTAAATGCTAATTATTGAATCCCTTTCATGAATTTTCCTAATAAGAAAATAAAAGGATAAAGCTAACAAGAAACTTTAACTGCCTTCATTTGCAACCACTGCAGTGGCATACCAATGATAATACTTTAATAATAATAATAATGTTTCAAATAATTATAAATTCTACAAAGAAAGAGACTTGAAAAGAAGTAGGGAGAGAAGATTGACAAAACCACATTTAAATAAGTTTTAATAAAGCAATTACATCTTATTTGTTCATTAGGCCTAATCAGATTTATTTATACTATTTACATAATTAAGACTGCTGTCCTCATCTTTATTACCATATTCACATTTTGACTGCCCCAGCCTCCTTCAGGTGATATACATTGGAATTTCAAACTGAACCCTTTATTTAGTTCACAGGAGTAGATTGTTCTAATTTCACGTGCCATGCATTTTTTGATATCTCAGTTTCAGTAAATTCCCTTTAGTAACTCAATTCTCCAAGTTTTTGTTCCCTCTGCTGTGGCCAGGTATTGAACTCACAACTCTTTGGGTCAAGTCACTTTTTGGATCACTCAACCAACTGGGCCATGTGTCCTTGGGGAAGGCTGGGGCATCATGAATATGACAATAAAGATGAGGACAACACTCCAGATGATGAAAATAATTGCAATAGTTATAATATTTCATCTCAGAAATATAAACAGATGCTAATTAGATTTGTTATTTAAGAAATTGAAGACTATATGAACCAATTTTGATTTGATGATGTATAAAACAATTGTAAAAGAAAACTTACTGCTTCAAAATCTGTCAGGTAAACAGGATATCTGCTGTTTAAATAAAATGAGTCCATGACAACAGGATGCACCAAATAGGCACAGTATGTGAGACGACTCAAAGGAATAAGTGGCTTCCATGAGAGGATAGTGTTGACAAAACCTGTAACAATACATTTTAGATATATTCAGAGAATTCACAAGAAATATTATTAAATATTAATAATAATGTTGTTCGGGAAGTCAGTCTCTGATAGGTCCACCAATGGTAAACAGGTTGACACCAACACCAAAAGATTATTACTATGAAGTGGAGTAGAAAATGAATGACAACTATAGTGATGTTTGTGCCCCCACACCATTCAAACATAAGTATCCTCATCAATTTTTATCTTTTTTTTCATTGCATTACAAGGTTGGATGGGGAGAAAGAGAAAGGATGTTTTTAGATCTCTTACTTCATTCACTTACATCTCTATCTTACCACTGGGAATCTATCAATATTTCAGTTTCACACAAATGCAACTAGTGGTCATTTATACAAACTAACAAGCTAAATATTAGTAGTGATAACAACACTCACCACCCTCATTAAAAGACAATGTTGGTTGATTATTTTAGGAAATTAACTATTATGTGGAACAAAATTTGTATTTCATTTACCTTTAAATAGAAACAATAATATCAATATTGAAGATATTTAATAAATATTGATCCACAATTGCGGATCATCTAGTGATGGTGAAATGCATGAGACTAACAACTGATCTGAAAGTTCAGCTTTCTCATTTCTATATCAGCTTAGCTTTTAAAAGCAAACAATTTCAAGTTTAGGTAAATAGTAACTTTTATTTACATATATAAAAATTAGTTAAAACAAAGTACAGTAGGAAGAACTCACTACAGGAGTCAATATGTGCCCATATCTCTGATCCCAAAAACAAAACAAATTTCCATAATTTAGGAAATTTTATCTGATTAGATCCACTTACCTCCATAACCAGTTACACAGGCATAGACAACCCAACCAACAGATAAGGCCCATACAATCCGATGTATAGTTGTATAAAAAGCAAAAAGGTCTGTTGACATAGAGGATCCATGGAAAGTATCATAAAGACCATAAAGAACAGCTATAGCACAGATTGTAGCAAACAACCATAACATGGCAACAATGTACTGCAAGAAAAGGAAAAAGATTTAATTTAAAATCAAGTAAAATCAAAATGTAGTTTTACTTATTTTTTTAAAACTGAAAATAAAACATATATATATATATATATATAATTAAGCAGTTTCACTTGGGTCCTGGGTAAAGCAATCAAATAATGAAAAAATATATATATATATATATATATATAATTAAGCAGTTTCATTTGTCCTGGTACAGTAAAGCATTTTTTTTTCATTAAATTAAAAAATAAAACCAACAATAATATCAAGAAAGAATTTGTAAAGAGACAGTTAATTTCGAAAATAAAATTACAATTTAAAAAATGCTAGAATCAAGATAAAGAAAATATATGAATAATGACAAATTAAAACTGCGCAAACATTGTAAAGAGTTAATTTACAAAGTTTGCCCATTTTTTTAATTTGTCATTATTTTCATATATTTGACTGCTTTACTGTACCCAGGACCTAAGTGAAACTGCTTAATTATATATATATATATATATATATATATATATATATATATATATATATATATTTTCATATATTTGAAACTGGAATTTGTTCCTGTTAGTATCTCATTTCTAGCATTTTTAAATTGTAATTTTATTTTCAAAATTAACAGTCTCTTCACAAAGTTTGTTCATTTTTTTTATTTGTCATTATTTTCACATATTTGAAACTTAGTTTTATTTTCAATTTAAAAAAATATGCTTTACTGTACTACTTAATTTGTTCTTTTTATTATTTTTTAATTTCTCAATATTTTCATATATTTGAAAGTTAACTTTCTTGTTTTATTTTCAAAAAAATATTCCTTTCTAGCCTTTTCTTTACATTGTAATTTTTGTTTGTTTTAATTTTAAGTAAAACAACACTTATCCCCCCAAAAATTATATTGCTTTACTGTAGTGTGTATTGATTTCGGAAACAAACTTCTGTAAATGAAGTAAATAGGCCAAAATTTATGCTTATGCCACCGGAAGTACCCCGCAGTGAATTAGTGAACCTTATGGCAGTAATGACGGACGTATGACCAACAAGAAGTCTGATTTTTTCTTGTCAATAACTCCAAAATGGTAGGTTTCTTCATAATTTAATTGTTAATTCGAGTTCAGCATGTACATTTATACGGAATTATGATGATTTGGGAAAATTTTAAGAGATAATTAGTCCACGGGCGTTTGGGCATTAAAAAGAAAATTTACCACAACTGATGTCCACTGCAATTTCTTTCTCAAAAATCAGACCACAGAACATCAGAGTCGTGATGATTTCTTTAAAGCTAGAAAAGCAACATACTTTTCTAACTTTATGCCAGACATACTTATAGTAGATTTTCAAGAAAATTTTACCTTGTGCCAAATTTATTACTGGTACTAGGTATGGATGCTACAATGAAATATTTTAAAGTAGGTTATATTTACTAGGGCAGAATTTCCAAGCCTCAAACCAGGATAGCTTTTCATTTTTATTGGTTTTTGCATAATAAAGTTTTTCTTATATTCACACCTTAAGCTTTTTAGGGCTGACACATAAAAATGAATACTGATATCTGAGAAAAAAGATTTTATTTGAACAAAGTATCTATAAACAAAAACAAAATGTTTTTTTTTTCCTATTCTCTGCCAGCCACAATGATGGAGAAAGCATTACCTCACACCATTGCCAGTGAGACACACTGCAAGAGCCACTCTGTTTTGTGAGGCTCATCCCTTAATTGAGACACAATCCCGTCAACCCTCTGAAGGAACGCCATCGAACGAGGGCCAGAAGTCTCCACTGGCCACTGGAGTAAAAATAAATCTGTTCACAAGAGAAGAATATTTAACTATTTTTTATCTCCACGCCCTGTGCGACAGACACCCGCTCAATTACCTGTTAAAAATGTATCGGCACAGGTTGCATCCCAAAATCAATGATTTCCCTACTTTAAAAAGGAAAATGGTAATCCCATCCAGTTGCTTTCCATTACCATGGGTTGATGGCCTTGAGTTTGACTTGAGAGGGGGAAACACAGCTGCATCCAAAACTCTTCTGATGATGTCATTTATTGATGCATGCTTTGGAAAGTGGCTGGCACTATGACGACAAGAGAGAGGATGCAAACCAAATTCACCAATGGAAGCTCCACATCTGCATCTGGGATGTTTACATAATTTGAGCCTAAGACTGATTGTGACCCAAGTGCACTCATCATCTAGAAGGGTACAGGTAGATGAAGAGTGCACTGTGTTGAGCCAAGCGCCACTACTCGATTATAAAGCAAATATTAGACAAGCAAGGCAGTGCTGATCCAGAGAGAGTCTCAAATTAGTAAAATTGGTCTCGCATTTTATTTTATCCCAGCTTTTCTGTTTTGATGTGTCTAGTGGGATAGAAAGTAATTCTTGGGCCCAGACACTGCATGCTTGTTCAAAATAACTACCTGAAAAACATTGAGATGATCCACCAAGTATCTCATCAATTAGTTCATGACTGGAAGAAAGTGAAGAAAGATGCTGGAAGGGCCAAGTCTGCTGATGATCGAAGGCCCAGGCCTCCAAAACTCAAAAGGTGCTTCACCTGCTTCCAACATTGCAAATTGACTCCATGCATCTCTTAATTGTGATATCCATCTCATCTAAGAAATCCTTTTCAATGTAGCAAGGGTGATTACGGAGAGTGTAGTCCTTGGTAGAGAAAAACTGTCCTTCAAGAAGAAGATTGCTGGGTGTGCAATTGCAATTTCTTGTTAGAATGACATGCTTAGTATCCAAACATTCTTGAATGGCTATTGGTAAGACTGGAGAACTAAGAAGTTAATTAAAAGTCCTTAGAAGTTAATTTTTTATCCTCAAGGATGAGGATAATATCCCAGATAGTACCCTCAAAATCATCTGCACTATAATTCAAATTTATTATCTCTGACTTAGACAAGTTAATCTCAAGGCCAAGCAGGGATAAAGCAGAGTTATGTTGGAGGTCACCAGCAACAACCTCAATGGGTCCTCCCAGCATTGCATTGTCATGATACCATATGTTGAAAGGAGAGGCGATGGAATGAGCTACCTCTTCAACACCTATCACAAATAGTATTATAAATCACCTTGCTGGATTCCAGTACCAGAAGAGATAATATTATGAGAGGTGATCAACATACTTGGATGAAAGATGAGACAGTTGAAATATGGAATGAGTCCATTGATGGCAAACTTCAGGGTATGATCCCTTCTGTTGCTGTTGAAAACGTTTTTAATATCCAGTTTTAATAAGATACATGGAGAAACGGGTAATGTATTCTTGAAAAATGATTTTGTGGCATGAACCATGTCTTTACATCCACCCTGTATGCCCTACCTCGAGCTGGATAGGTTGCAATTCATGCCCTATCTCCTTCACAACAACTCTACATGCAATTTGACAAAAAAAATGTTACCAACAGCGATAGGGCATCTTTTTATTTTTTTAAAGCCATTAAGTTGACTGAAAATATTAAGTCATGAGCATGTTGGGGTATTTCAGCTCAGAGAAAGGTATTAATAAGAGCTGTTAAGGATCTTTTCAAATGTTCACCAGCTTTGGCAGTGTGGGCAGAAATCTTGATGTGACACTGCCATTGCTGCTTTCCAATATATATATATCTTATATATCTGAGGCAAACCAGACAAGGCTGACCAAACTGGTATGTATGTTAAGAATATATTTACTAGATGATGAAATTCTGATTTTGCTTAGTTGAAATCATTAATTTCAGGACATCACCAAAAAAAGGTATATGAATATTAGAATGAGCTTAATCATTAGAAGAGATATGTAACTAAGATTCAAATTTTGAAGCCAAGAGTTAAGGTATTTGTGTTATGATGAGAATTCTTTTTTTTATAAAAAAGTGTCAGACTGAAGGTTGTAAGGTCTGTAGTTTATTGACAAAAGTGAAATAAATAACATTTGTTCATTGTAAGTCAGCATCAATCAGTAAAGAATCTTAGAAAGATATTGGCAATGTTTTACCTTCATGTCTACACAAAAGTTGTCTGTCAAAAGGATGGTTATTCCCTTTTTTTAACTCCCTTGGCAATATTTATTTATAAGATTACAAAAATATGTGAACCAAGTACATTTATTATTTACCTTTTATAATGATGTATTATTTACTATTTTATAAAGAAACAAATTTGAAAAGAAATATTTTTTATTCAAAAATTTATTAAAAAAAATTACAAAATTATCAAAACATGTAAAACAATGCAATATTTACTATTAAAATTACAGAAATTTTGTAATTAAAGACAAGGAAAACTTTGTCTATCTAATGAATAGGGAGATACAAACTCAAAATATTCAGTGTTTTTAGTCTAGCCTAAAATCTAAAATTAAAAGAATGTTTGGTTTCAGAGGAACATCTGCTTTCAAGTCTCAACTTATTTTAGTGAATTTAAAAAAATGTATTTTCTTGGCTTTTTTTTTCATTTATCACCACATAATGGCTTTTTTTTCCATTTATCACCACATAATGGTGATAAATGAAAAAAAAAGCCAAGAAAATACATTTTTTTTCAAAATTTATAATTACAGTTACTCATCGTTGTGTTTATTTAAATTTTCTTGTTCACAGACATTTTATAAATTTATGAATATAAAAATTTATTTTTATATTTATTTCCTTGTAAAATGGTAAATAATAAATATTTCATTACAGTTGGTTCACATATTTTTAGAAACTTGTAAATATAAAATTATTTTTGTAAATAAGCAATCTAATAAATAGTGTCTATGAAGAATAAAGAAAACTTTCATAAGTTTGGATTTTATTAAAATTCTAATCATCACTTTTAAAATAATAAATATTATCAAGGAAGTTAAAAACTGTAACAGCAGTGTCAAAGGAATAACTCTTTCTGACACACACACCATTTTTTTTTTACATTAAACAAATGAAAAATAATATTTTACAAAAGAGTCACTTACTCTGTTTATTGTCATTTTGCAGTTTGTTTTGTACAAAAGATAGCCATAAAACATTCCAACTAAATAGGAACCAATTCTTATGTAAGGTTTCACATAAATTTCATTGAAAAATCCGGGTCTATAAGAAAAGAAAGAAACAAGTAAACAAAATCAAATTTGATTTTTTTTAAACCATTTTATATAAAAGGTGAGATATTCGTCACCTTTTTTACATAATAGAGAAATGACATGACAAGGTGATGGGACTTAATCTCATAACTCTGGTGTTTTAAAAGGGACAAATATATTTTATTTTTTTTTAAAAGGGACAAATATATTTTATTTTTTAAAAAGGAACAAATATATTTTATTTTTTTTAAAAGGGACAAATATATTTTATTTTTTTTAAAAGGGACAAATATATTTTATTTTTTAAAAAGGAACAAATATATTTTATTTTTTTAAAAAGGAACAAATATATTTTATTTTTTTAAAAAGGAACAAATATATTCCCAACATTTTTATTGAGAAATTTAAGAAACAAATCTTTTTTGTTAATATAAAATCTCAAAAAACATGCTTGTCATGAAATTGATTTAAATTTATTACAGGATAAATAGATATCTTTGAAGCTATAATATTTCAACATCTGAAAACTAAATGTTAAACATTTTATGGATAACAAATTTTATTTCATATCTAAAGAAAAGATGAAGTATGGACATGTACTGAAAAACTATTATTTGAAATTAATTTGTTTTATACCAAAGATAATTTATATTATAACAATCCTCTCTGTTCCACCAGCAAAAAAAAAAACAAAAAAACCCAGCAAAATGAGACATTGGAGCCAGATTTTTGTCACCACAATGCCGGTAAAAATGTTCAATCAAATTTCCAGTTCAGTTTGTAACTTAGAGTGCTTTGACTACACTCACTCCAAATGACCCAATTTTTCAAGGTAAGTATTAAAAGTATAGAGCAGTTCTTAATTACTACATGTTAACTGTAAATAATCTTAATATAAATTTTATGAACATTAAGCTTAAATGGCTAATAATAATTAAAAAGAAACTATGTCAAGTTTTATACTTAGGTTTTAAGAGAATGCAGAATACAATCAACTTACTTCATAAAAAAGAATTTTTGAAATATAATTTTTCTTTTCATTAAATCTTTGTCTATGCCTATTCTTAATCACCATCATAAAGAAAAAAAAATTCTAGTAATTATTAGTGGATCATTTATAATCTTCAATGAATTCATATTGATATTGATGATAGTGGTAAAATTGGCATAAAGACTAAGGGATTAAACGTCAACTTTTTATACAAATAATTTCTAAAAGTCTCACGTAAGGAGTCCAGAGTAGTGTTTCACTTTCATAATCACACCACAAGTAATTAGTTGAGCAAGCATTAAGGCTGAAAGAATTCCCAAACCAATCTTGGGTTTTCTGCAAATAAATTGAAATAAATATAAAATCCAACATTAAAGAATTCATATAATCTCAATAATTATAAAATATACATCAGTCATGTACAGCCACTGAAATTTTAATTTTTACTGAAATGTTTATTTGTGAATATCAACTATTAATTGAAATTCTTGAAAAGAAAACCTGGTGACATCGAAAGCATTATCCAATTTACTTTGATCAAAAAAAATCTAACAAAAGGTCACATCTGTGAGGAATTTTCATTAAACCAATAAACACATCACAAAAATATTTAAAGTGATCTTATTTCAATCAAATATGAAATTATAAGATAATTTAATAAAATTTCTAAGTTTATAAAAGGATTATTACATTGAATCCAAGAACACTTGAAGTTTTTTTTCCTCTAAACCTAGCATTGACTTTTGTGAGGGCCAAATTTATGTGCTATCTACTAATATTTAAATTGAAAAAAGAAAAAGTAACATAAAACAATAAAATTAATGACATATTACCACTGCTCTGTTGAGAGTGTACTGGCTTATTGCATCACTGTTTGGTATGCCAGTTATTCGGCAGCAGATAATAGAGTTCTCCAAAGGATTATATCGCCCAGAAAATAATTGGCTGCTCACTGCTTTGCTTAGAGGACATTACTAATTTTCATTGTCACAGCAGAGCAGAAAACATAATGAAAGACAGAATGCATCCCAGGTACCACTTGTTTGAACTGTTACTCAGGGTGACATTTTAGGACAAAGTACTTGAGAGAGAGCTTTTATTCTTGGGTATTGTATAAAATAAACGTTGCCACAGGCTGACAATTTTCAACATATTTTAAACATATTACTTTTTTCATTCAATGCTGTGTGTTTTGTACGTGTGTGTGTGTGTGTGTGTGTGTGTGTTGGTTTACCTGGAGACTTCTGTTTAGTTTTATTATGCATTGCACAGTGACAAGAAGAATAAATAAATTACACTAAAATATTATAAATGTGTCTTTACAAAAACTACCAAATAAAATGCATCATATTTGAATTTCTGGGACGAGACATTAGTTATTTATGTAGTGATATTAAAATAAGCCTTGCTTCATTTACATATAAGGACACAGACATGTATGTATAGACATTCAATTAGGAAAACTTGAATCACACACTTCACAACAGCAGCATCACTGATAGGATCTTTATTACAAATTGATAAACCTGACTTTGTTGAAATGTGGTTGCAATGTTTTTCAGCCAATGCTAGATTAAAGATGTCATTTGAACAGATCTTGAGATAATTTTGAAATTTGAAAGTAATAAGGGTTTTTCCAAAACATCATAGATAACATTTAGGCTCTATTTTTCATGGCTGCATTTGTTTAAAAAAAAAAAAAAAAAAAAAAAAATGGACATGACCTACACAATCTAAATGTTAAATTATTGATGCAATTCATTTTATTTTACTGCCAGAGTTGGTTCACTGAACACATTTATACTGCATTCTGAGATGAGATGTAGTTGCTATTCAATCAATTTTTGGAACTTACATCCTCATCTTGTAGCAAAACATTTAAGGTGTGATATTGTTGCTATTCAATGATGTATTGGGACCAGCAATCTTATTTTGGTTGTTTTTTTTTTCAGAATATTTCCTAAAATTAAATTTAATTACTATTCAATGACTTTTTGGACTTCCATTGTTTTTGTTATTTTTATCACAGTTTCAGCTAAGATACTCCTTTTTCATAATTTTGTTTTTTTGCAGGATAGCAGATATACTAATCTGCAGGGAGTTTTGAACACATTCTTAATTTTAAATCAGTCAACTCCCAGCCTTACCAACAACACCCTTACACCAAATCACTTTCTTTACCAACAGCAACTTAAGAGCTGCCTATTAACAATTTATGTCACCTTTCACACAATTATGTATATATTCTTCACACTTAATACATATTGAAATGTTAATCCTTCTTTGTTCTTTCCTTTGCAATCATATGCTTATTATAACACCCTGCCAACCTGGAATGTGCTCTGAAGAAGGTTAGAGAGTGTACTGCTGAAAATATAAAAAAAACTATAAAGATGAGAAGGCTAGTCACAAAGAAATCATTAAATAGTGATTTGCTTCCTGTTTGTAAAAAATGAATGCCAGTTAAATTTGAAATGGGAAATATAAAGACAGAAATATTACAAATAAAACCTGCACACACTTACTTGTAAAGAAAGAACAGAATAATAGGACTGATGACATAAAACTGCATATCATTAGCTAAATACCAGGACCAGGCCATGCACTGAAAAGAAAAAAAATATTTGAAAGTTTTCAGGCGTTCAAGAGAAATATTATAGAGCAGATTTAATTATTGTTTGTGGTTGGTTCATAATGATTTCATCATCTTCATTATTTGTTTGTTTAACAATTTTTCAGCTTTGCACCTTTCAGCCTTCCTCAGATGTCTGTATGATCTGTAGGTGTTAAATCTGGGGGAATATGTGAATCCTCTGTCATACATGTCACATCTGATGCTTACATCTGTGTATTCTTGGGATTGTGTACTCCACATGACCTGATGAACAGGGTGAACTCCAATCTGTTGTTCCATGTCAATGGAATCACAGGTTTGTTACTTGGTTCTTCCTGAATAATAGTTCTAGAAAGCTGTTAATATCTTCATACATTAGTTTTCTGGTGTTGCTCAAATTGTATTTTTAGGTATTGACCAATTTTGCCTTGGTACACTCTGCTACAACTGCATAGAATGTTATATATACAATTCTTTCTCATATTTTTCTTCCAATAGTCATTTTTACTTTTTAAACATATCTGAATACTGTCCTGATGTTGTGAAGACTGCATATTCTTTGAAACTTCTCTCCTATTGTGCATAAGAGAATGGTTGTAGTCAGTGTTTTGTGCTCTGATGTGCTTTCTGTATCAGCTGATGCTTCTTTGGAAGTAGTCCTTTATGCTGATTTGTGTATGTATGATTTGCTACATACAGATATATGTTGATTGGTGTTGTAAGCAAAAAAAAAAGTCCCTGTATAAGTGCTTAGAATTACAATTTAAATAACATCCAGTGAATATTCGCATAAGTTGTATGTACTTAATTAACATTCTGTGTGGCATATTCAAACATCCAGGGAGAATAATTCAGTTTGTCTTAGTGAATGATACTGAGGCATATTACACATCCTCCAACAGTAATTTCATGTTTTCCCGATGAGGCTAAAGTATGAAAGTGTCATCCATTTATCTTAGTCTGCTAAGAACATTGGGAACAAAAACACAAAACAAATACTCAAATACAATGATTAAGATGTATTATGTAACAAAATTCAGTAAACATTGCTGATAGAAGCACTGATCTGATCAATAATTGTTACCCCAAGGGGCAAGAACCAGGAAAATAATATGTGATTAGATTAACAAAAATTTATTTACAGAATAAAAAATTAGGAATAATGGTTGGAAGTAAAAAGATTAGATGAGAAGTTAAATAAAGGTAAACAAAAAACAATCACAAATGAACTTGTTACATAAATACAACAAAATAAAATTAGAAACAAATTATATTTTAATATTCCCAAGCCTATTGGTAATGATCAAATGGATTCAACCATCAATTATCAAATAAAAGAATTTTGATTATATGAGACAGTTATTTGCTGAATTTTGAACATTCATGTTTATATGAGCTATGGATGAAGAAGCATTGAGTTAAGTGCATTGACAAGGAAAAAATCATGTTGAAAAGTAAATAATTATTATGTAAATAATTTTTGTCATCATGAGGATACACAATTTATATATATATATATATATATATATATAAAACTGCCATAAAAAGACAAAAATTATTTTTATTACCACTCATGATGATAATAGGTAAAAAGTGAAACAGAAAAACAGTCTAGCTAACTGGTTTTGAACCTCGCTCAACAGTACTAAATTGTGGTTAATAAACTGAATTATCACTAAAAAATGGACAATATGTATTGGAGAAGAAAAAAAGAAAATATTGTTTAGATGGAAATTAGTTGGAGACCCAATACGATATCCTTCTGTTTACACAGAGAGGGCTTCAATGATAAAATATAGATGGCCTCCAACACTTAAGTGGTAATTTGAGTGGGACCTGCTAAGTATGGTAAATGAGTCCTCACTGAAACTAGCAGCACAATTATGGCTATTTATTAGGTGTTCTGCAATGGAAAGCCAATACATATTGGTCAGAATGTCTGAAGGAGTGTACTTAAGGTTTGGGATTTTCATTGGAACGTGTTGGTTTATTCTGGCATCCAGCCTTTGAGTCATTCTCCCTATGTAGTGTGAACCATTTAAAGGAATAAATTAAAGAACTATTATGATGTGGAGGGAGAACATCTTAACATATCTTTTTATATATATATATATATATATATATATATATATATATATATAAGAAGTGTACAATGGCGAAAATGTTGTGAATCTAACAATAAAGATGAGGACAACAGTCCAAATGTGAGAGAGAGTGGAGGTGGTGATAAATAAAGCAAATATTTTACAACACAGTCTCCTTTCTTGTCACTGCAGTTGATTCACTTGTGAATATTAATCTCATAGATTGACCTTATACAATGAAATTTTCAGATTAAGATAATAACTATGTATCTAGATATGAAATTAATTGATTTACCCTTGTAAATTTCCATACAGTTCTGTGAAATTCTGAGATAAAAAATTTTGATTATTCAACAAATGACTTAAACCAACATCATTATCTTTGTTGTTTAATCTCAGAAAACATTCTAATTTGAAAATCAATGAAACTGTCCCATATTTAAGAAAGTAAAAATATTTTAAGGCTGAAAGACTACCAGATATATCTAATCAAGGTTGAAGAGAACATGAGCCAAAAGCTTGTGATAAAAGCAACAAAGATACTGATACTAGGCCAAAATAATTTCTAGAATAAATTCACTTGTCACTGACAGAATTTGTTTTTCCCTCTAATGAGAAAGGATACACATTTGTAATTTTAGAAACACCATGTAATTTTTATAAAACAATAGTTAATATTTTTTTAATTTCAGTACTCCAGAATCTTTCTCAAAATGGTAAAAAAAAACTGAGTAACAGTTTGTCATGGTAACTATGATTAACAAAATAAGATTTGTTTATTTTGTCTTCTGCCTAGATCAGAATAAGTGAGAATGATGGTTAAAGGCAATACCTCAAGACAACACCCCTGACAAACCAAACACTTGTTTTTGAAAGGCATTTTCCATCTGATTATGAAACAGTGGTTATTACAAGAAAAGTATGACCCAGGAATCCACCATCAATATTTGATCATTTGACATAACCTAGTTCTCAACCTAAACCAACAAAAATTTCTGCTTCTATGTGAAATGTGCAAAATTATGAGAGTGAACAGTTTCTAGGAAAAGACAACATCCTCACTTGAAAAATTGTATCAGAATATTGATTAACAGGATTTTGTATCAGCAGTTACATGCTATAAATCAAACAATCAACTGTTCATCTAATCCATTGATTTTTTTTCAATGTGTTTAATTAAAATTTGAATGTTACAATACTGATATATATACAATAATTTTTTCTCTTTCAAAAAAGTTGAATATCAATGTTTCAGCACTAGTCACAAATCAATGAAGCAATTCATTATCTTAGTAACTTAAAAATTGATAAGAAAAAAATTTAAAAGAGCATATTAATGTTATGTCATCACAAATGATTGGGACAAAACATTATGATTCTGATATTCTTATCAAGGCATTTGAACCTTTGGTCATTATATAACAGACTTCAGGATGATTTAAGTTACCCAGTGTAAGAACATTACCATCAGAAGTTTCAAAATTAAATGACTAATTTTCTTGGTGATATTTTAGTGAAATCTATGAAAATCAGAAAAAAGTGTATTCTTTCAGTTGATGAAGTGAATACCCAGGTTGCTCCACAATATCATGGAGGAAACTTATTTGGTTTGGGTGAAAATTTTGAGGGATTAGCAAAAACAATATTGGGCATCATGGTAAGATGGATGATCAAAAATTTTATTTAAAATAATCCCAGTTTCAAAATTAGAGGTAACATTTTTTATATGAAAAAGATTTATATATTGTTGATGCAATTAAACAGTCAAGTAATTGCAATTGTATATGACAATAACAGAACCTATCATTTATAACCTATTTCCAAAAAGCCTTGGATAACTAAAAATGGCTTGTTCTTATTTTTTGATTATGTCCACCTGTTTAAAAATATTCAGAATAACTGGATTACTGAACCTACTTCTGAATTATTGTTTTATTCTGAAAGCAGAAAGATGACAGCAAAATGGGAAATGTCTTTTTGAGTATGAAAAATCTGTTAAACTGTCAAAACTGATGTAGCAGTTTATCCAAAACCTGTTGAGTGACAAAATGTTTCCCATTGTCTAAAGTTTTTTGTGATCAAACTCTAGCTGCCATTAAAACACACCCATTATTAAATGTGGAGGATACTTCAGAAACAGTTAATTTTATTGAAAAGAGTTACAATTTTAGAAAATTGTCTGTGTCAAAGAAATATATGGTGATACTAAGAAAAATGATCCACTGAAAAAGATGATATCAGATTTAGATGATCAATATCTTATTTCTTTCTAATTCTGGAAAAATGACAAAAAGATGGGAGGAAATCAAGGAAAAAGAATACTACTAGTTTAATAACTGAACATACATGCAATGGCTTAATTGATGTTTGTAGATATTTGCTAAGTAGTGGGTTTAATTTTATTGTGCTTGGTGAATTTACCATAGACTATTTAGAAAATGAATTTTGAAAATTACGACAAAATTCTGGAAGTGCATACTTTATAACAGTTCAAAATGTTATTGAAAAATTTAAATATTGAAAAAAAACTAAACCTACTTCTTAAATTAAATGTTGAAGTCAAATAATACAACACTGATCCAGGCCATAATTGCTGAAAATGTGGACATTTGCTGGATGAAATGGGATGCCAAACATTTGATAAATTTACTAGACCTTGAAACTATATTCCCTAAGGTTATGAAAATACCACTTTTGTATATAGCAGGCTATGTTACAAGAAAAATTATCCCACAAAGGGGGAAATGTTTAATAATATTAGTATTTATTTTCAAGTATATGAACATTTTTGAAAGAAATAGATTGTGGTAATTTAGAAATTCCACAGGGATACCAGATATTTTTTATTTTCAATTTTCCCTCCTTTTATATATATATAATTGGTTAACTCCCCAAATTGTCCTGTTAATTAATTTTGTGTTATTGTTAATGTAAATTTATTATAATTCTTAAAACTATGTGTACTGGTAATATCTATTATTGTATCATAGCAAAATAAATATTTTCTTCATTTTCTGTGAAACAAATTGTACATGTCACAAATTTTGTAAAGATTATCAAAATTATTGTTTCTGTTAAATTCACATTTTTTTGTAAAGTATTTTCAGATTTTGTCGATACATGATTTTGTAAAATGCTGAAATTGCTTGCTGACCCAGTCCCAGATGTAGCCTTGGTCACATCGCTGAATCTTCTCACTACAACTGCTATCTGGTTACTAGCATAAGGTAGAACTGTTCCTTGGTCCTTGGCTGAAGAGATCCTCTCAATGTTGAAGTTGGGTCTGCTGGATCACAAGGAGTTAAGTAGATTGTGTATCGCAATTTGTTACTAAAAGTAACAAAATTGTGTCTTGGTAAATTTTAATGGATCATCTACAAATGTCGTCTCAGGTTTCCTTAGATGTTGGGATCAAGAAAGAAAATGTTGCAACACTGGATTTGACAATAAAAAAAATCTGAAGTTTTATTTTCCTTCAGCTAGATGTTACAGTACCAATCTTTTTAAAAGTTCATGAGTTAATAAAAAAATGCTTGGAGAAAGTTCAAACAAAAAAAATATTAATAATTAAATTCTTTTCGGATCCATGAGAAAGAAAAAAATAAAGTGTTGTCAAACTATCCGAATTATCGTAAGTTCATTCACAAGACAAGCAGCCGATCTGTCTATATTTCTGAGATGAGGTATTATGTAAACTATTTACATTATTCAGTCTATTGTCCTCATCTTTGTTGCCATATTTAGTTGTTGTACACTCTTGCTTTCTTCAGGTGGTTGGAATGTCAAACTGAATCCTTTATTTTGCTCACTGGAGTAGACTGTTCTAGTTCCACGTGCCATGTTTAAAATATCAGTTATCAATTATCTCCTGTTAATTCACCTCTCCAAGTTCTCCACTGCCTTAACCAAGTATTGAACTCACAACTTTTTGGGTCCTGTCAATGGATCTAACCAACGCCTTTATCCACTGTACCATGTATCCTTAAGGACATCTGTGTATGAATTTCTGGGACCTATAAACTTAATGACTCTGTGGGATCAAGTTGAAATCATAGACAAAGAACATCATTGGAAAATTCGTAAACTTAAGGAATCGGCACATATGCCAGGCTACAAAAATCTCCTGAGTCGACCAATCATAAAAATAAATACAATATGGGAACCAGTAATAAGGAGTGCCAGAGAAAAGCAATAATAACAATGAAAATTGCAATATGAGCTCTGGTAAAAAAAACATGCAATGATAACAGCAAAAATTGCAATATGAGCACTGGTAAGGCAGTGGAGAGAGGTAAATTGACAGGAGATAACTGACACCCATTAGACATGGCACGTGGAACTAGAACAGTCTACTTCATTGAGTGAAATAAAGTTCAACATCCCAACCACATGAAGAAGGCTGGAGCATACAACGGCCAAAAAGTTGTGATAAATATGGCAACAAAGATGAGGACAATAATCCCAATAATGTAAATAGTGTACAAGCAGCCTAGTATTAGTAATAATCAGCAGCAGTTGTCTGGTTCATTGGGTAGCCGCAGTTTTGTTTGCGACTGTTGTATCTACTTCTTTCCTGAAACTATCTCTCTGGGCGACTTCTATTAGTGTTTAAGGGCAGAGCACATTGGGGGCAATTCACACCTGTTGGAAAATATTTTTACAATATTTGACTCCCCCACTCCAAACAGATAGGGATTCTGGTTTTACCCGGCTAAGAATTTCACGGTAAGATCAACTGGCTTTGCTAACAGTTCTTAGCATAATCTTTCTCTATTTCTTTCCTTTCTGGTTTTGTTTTCTTCAGAAATAGGTGTCAGGAAGCTTTGTTCAACACTTTCCACTAAACTTTTAACCTCAATTCTTGATAGGAGTGTATTTGTTACCCAAAGATTTAGATAACCTAACTAACTCAAATGACTAATTGCATGCAAACATACCTGTTAACATTATATTTTTTTTGTTCAAATTAACAAATTGAGTTTCAAATACCAAAGGAAACTTAGATTTTCAAAATTATCATTCTTTTTGCTTTTATCCTCACTCAATACTGATCTACAATTGTATTTTTTATATATTACATATACCAATTAGAATAAACAAATTAACATTATTTTTACAATATTATCTAATAATAATAATGGTGAATAAAGCGATTTTTGTGCATTTAGTTATTTTATTGACTTTTTGTTGTTTCTTTGTACATTTGCATTTATGGAAATAAGTCAATGATTGTAAGATGCTTCCTAATATTATATAATATTATATACAATTGCTAATTAACTAATTATTTAGTTCCTTCCTAAAAATGTTCTTAGTAATTGTTATTTAGTAGTAATTTAGGTCTCCACATGTCTGCCCCCAGTCATTGACCCCAGCTGCATGGTTGCCAGGCCTGGTATAAGGATCACCTTTTACTGAATACATCCAAAACCAAACTTGTAACATTTCATCACCATCGAGCAGACTCTAGATCTGCACTAATCCTGATGTGATCATGCTCTCAAATGCCTATTCACTCCTGACAAATGTAATCACAAAAGATGTTGGAAGAATGGTCAGTGCCTTGTATCATTCCAGAAAATACCTAACTCCTGCTGGTATGGTCTATTTTTACAAGAGTCAGATCAAACCAAGAATGAAGTATTGCTGGGTTAGTGCTGCTCCATCCTCACTATCCATCCATGACAGAGTACTTATGTGGCCTTATGGGGCTTTGTGTTGGGTTAATTATCAATTAAAAAAAAAAAAAAAAGAAAAAAGCAAATTCTTTTTGTTTCCAACTGGAAAATCTTTTACAATATCAAAAGCCATTCATCAACATATTTTATGTGTTTGTGTCTTTCAGTGAATGCTTATCACATACGAAACTACTCTTCACACATACCTTATTATTCTTAATGCAGAGTAGACTCTCTAAATATAGCTGTAGGGCATCAGTGTGTAAAGAAAAGAGTAAAAGCAACAAAATAATACTTACTTCTGTGTCATTAAAATTGTTAATATAGAGAAGATTGTACCACCAAGTGCTGTCACAATAATCTTTTTCAACACCAGTGATTGGCCAGTATGGTCCATCTCCCCAATATTGCAACAGTGGAACATACACCATCAACACCAGCATATAAGGTGGAGTTAACCTAAATAATAATAATGAAGAAGGTGAGGATGATGGAGAATTGAAAAAACTTTTGTCACTTGGTATCTAGAGAAAACTACCAGATACTAGTGGTATGAAAATAAGGACAACAACAACAATCTAAAACTTTAAAAAATAAATAAATAAAACTCACCTATCTGAATACAGGGAAAAGGATAAATCACTGTGTAGTAAATGCAGTAAACTGGCTCAAAAGGAAATGTAAAAATAAACATGAATGGGTAGGAAGAATAATTCACTTGGAATTGTGCAGACTTGTATTTGAACAAACAAAAAATAAAAAAAAAAGATGAAATATTTTTTAGGATATGCAGATTTAGAAAAATTGTCCTATTCAAAGCATAGAAAATCTTTCAAATAAGAAAGGTAACCATTTCAACAACCCAGAGGATGAATTAAAGCAGGATTTCACATTGAATAAATATCAAAACCTTGTCCAAGAGCTTAAAAAATTATAGAAGATAAATATTCTATTGACTGAAGAAGGAATTCAGTAATTGAATTGTAGCAGAAGTAAAGGAAAGATGAACTGCCAGCTACCTTTGGTGAGGCTGCTCATCCTGTTGATCAAAAAGACAATGCTTGGTGTGCTACATATACAGCACACCAAGCGTTGTTTTTGTCATATAGGAAAATCCAATATGAAGCACGTAAATGAAATATTCGGCGAAAAATCCCATTTGTCAGTAACATTTTAAACACCTCATAGAATGTAAAGTTCTTAAAGCAAACATGTGCCAAACTGTTTTCCTGAATCCTTGATGACTTGGCTGTCCAAAAATGACAACATCAAGATGAAATAATGGAAATTGACCGTAAAAACACAATTATGTGCAACAAGTTTTTGATCAATCAGTAAACTTCTGGACCATTTTGGGTGACATTATAGGATCCAGACGGCTATTGTTTGCACATGGAATTATTCACTGGTAATTAATCTTCGATTTGGCTGTGGAAAATGTTACTCGGCAGTTAACATTAAGAAATTATGCCCAATTTTCTGAGAAAAATCACTGTTTTTTTATGAAACAAGAACTGTTTTTATCAGTACATGCAATATGTATCTTTGTATTAATTATCTTTGCATGCATTTTTAAAAGGACATAAATTAGTGTATATTTGAATAAAGAACATTATCCGAAGATAACCACTTGAAACAAGTAAACCTCTTCTTTGATGACTTCCACATCGCCACATTAACAGGTTACCACATTACTTCTTTGATCCTCAGTTTCAACTCCCCCTCCCAACTTTAATTTGTTTTATTAATATTTTTTTTTTTTTTTTTTACATGCCTAATTGTTTCAGTTTTACTTTCCTTTGTTTTATTTTTTTTTCCATATCAAGTTTGATTTTTTCACCTTATTACAACTAAGTTGGTTTCTTTTTTGTCACAAGACATTTTTTTCTTTTTGTTTAATTTTTTTCTTTTCATTTGTCTGTTTGCGTAAGGCATTGATATATAAGTTGAACTTGTAATTGTTTGGCCATGGTGGTCTGGTCCAACATGGTGGATAATTTAGAAGCACCGGAAAACATGACACCACCTAAAACCTGGCTTGGGAAGAAAAAGAAAGATCACAAAAAGACACAAGCTATTATGATGAAAGAAAGATATGAGGAGTTCAATAGAGGAAATGAACACCTCACAATTCTGGAGGCAATAGATGCCATAAAAACAAGGACCATCTCCCTGCTGACCACCGATGTAGTAACTTGGAGACTTATTGGCGTCAGCAGAGAAACCATTGAAGAAGCTTTAAAGAGTCTAAAAATTCTGCCAAGATTCTGGCAAGGCGGTCTAATACCCTATAGGATATATTGCTGCTGACAGGAGAAGAAGCAAAGATGTTGGCAGGAAGTACCCTGACTACAAAGTTAGTCTGCCTTCAAACATAATATTTGGAGACTGATAAAATCACCGTCCATGGAGTGCCGGTGGATATTAGTGCAGATAAGCTGGAGGTGACTAATGATTAAAATGGCTGGAATTGCCATAGAAGACCTGAATGTTCTAATGTGTAGAGACTTTTGTCTCTACACATTAGAACATTCCTGTTGTTGTCATCTATACTGCTGGGAATGTGGTGCTTTGGGACATGTCCAAAGTGTATTCCGGCAGTTCCTCAGTATATCCAGGCAGCAGCAGCAGCAGCAGCAGTGGAAACAGTCTGGCAAGACTCCTGATAGAGCTTGGAGGGAGGTGACAAAAAAGGGATGGAAGTCGTCTAGCTCTCCTCCCAGCAGGAGGCCTCACAGCAGCAACAACAACCCCAGGAGAGGCCAGAGCCTGAAAAGCAGCAACATCAGCTGCCTCAGTCCCCAAAAGGGCTGCAACAAGAAAAAGCCCAAGCTGAAACAACAACAGCTGAAAAATCAGAAACAACAAGACCACCAACAACAACTATAGAAACAACAGCAGAAACTAGACCTCCAACAACATAAGAATCAGCAACAACTACAGCAACATCATGGAGAATGATGAAATACCCATACCACAGTCCTCCTAATTAAAGAGGGAGAGGGAGGAAGAGATGCCCATCAAAAAAGAAAAACTGGCTGGCCAAAGCAGGAAGGAGAGGGGAAATGTCCAAAGCCAGATCCCAATCTGTCCCTGCATCACCAGCAGAAATTGAGGATGCAACTCCCAAGTCAGGAGGAGATCACAGAGAGCAAAGTCTAATTGGTGTTGAAGAAGGTTGGCAGTGGCAAGTCTCTGAGACTATGAATTGTACTTGAGGCTGTCGCACATCTTTACTCCAATTTTGACTGTTGTGTTCAACAACTGGTTCTGCCAGGGGTCCATCCCCAACCAGGTCTCCAGGGGTGTGATCACGCTATTGAAAATGAGGGCAAGGGTATTGGATGGGATTTAGATAATTACAGGCCCATAACTCTGGTAAACGCGGAGTTAAAAATTTTGGCTAAGATCCTGTTGGGGCGTTTGCAGTCAGTTGCTGAGATTCTGTTGGAACCCGAGCATACTTGTGCTGTGAAGAGCAAAACAATTTAGATCCACATGATCCTTGAGCAAACTGCCTTGATCAATTTGGATCAGTTCAGGGGTTGACTATTGGTACATGGCTGCTGTCTTGCAAGCTGCCAGATTCGAACAGTGTTGTGGTATGGGTGAACAGAAAGCAGCCATGTGATTTTGCACTGTCTTGGTCGGTGTGTCAGGGTTACCTGTTGTCACTTCTACTTTATGCTTTGGAGCCTCTCCTTCCTGAGGAATAGGGTGTGCAGTCTGGCCCTACATAGAATCGTTGTCCCTAGTGGGGCTTGAGTCAGTGTTTTCTCATATGTTGATGATGTATCTACTTTTATATTGTCCTGCAGTGACATTGAGGTGGTACTTAAGGTGCTTGAATGGTATGAAAAGATCGGGGGCGGGGTGAGATTAATTGTAACAAGTCTTTCAGCTTGTGGTGAGATGCCTGAAAGGGGGTTGGTCTTCTGGGGCCTTTTGGTTGGATATATGGGGCCATCTGCATTCTCTAAGTATGGTTTGGGCCTGGACTCCTGCTGGAGAAAAATTGGTAAGTAGTACAGGCAAAGGTTGGCATGGTGGTTGTGATTTGAATGTGCCACTTACATCTTTCCTCTCATCCTTTATCGGTTGTCTGTACTTCCTCTCTCTAAGGAGCATAAGAAGGTGATCAAGTGCTTGCTCTCCTCCCTCTTGTGGGGTGAACGCAAACATTATGTCAACAGAGTTGTCTGTATCCAACGTCTGTATTATGGAGAACTGGGAATGCCACCAACATGCCTCAAGATTAGCTTTCCTACACTGCATGTTGACAGAGTACTTGTTTTGGAGGGGAGTGTGAGGGCCACATTCCCTTGTCATTACTTCTCCAGTCTTGGGTGCTGAGCGCTTGATTGATCGATAAAAGACTCTTTTTAGGCAGAGAAAGGTCACTGGACTGAGGAATGATCCTCAAGGCCAATCAACATTTGAAAAGGAAACTTGATTGGTTTTGAGGGTCACTCCTCAGTCCAGTGAGCCTAGAAGAGTCTTTTATTGGGAATTAGTGGTGGGGTTCATGAAGGATCCACTCTGCAGTTGTGCACTTTTTGGTCTGGGATGCCAGAAGCAGACTACCTCATCAACCCTGAGTTTTCACTTACGTGGCAATTGGTTCAGAATAGGCTGCCTCTTAATGACATGGCCTTCAGATTGGGCTTAGAGGATTTGCCAGATTGCCATTGGTGTAAACTTGGTTTAGAGGAAAAATCTTTGCACACCTTTTACTATTGTACTTGGGTGTGCCTTCTCTGTGACCATGTTGGTGATTTGATGGATTAGATAGCTCCCAAAAAGCTTGTGCTCATTGATCACGCATGTTGTGTGATAATGTGTTGCCCCCATATTCTGAGGTGGAACAGATGGCGTTTCTGTCGCTGCTAGCCACGGCTAGAATGGTGATTTGGATTACACGGTTGGAGGAAATCTTGCAATGTGAATGTTATTCTCATCAGGATCTAATCAGATTCTTTGCATATCAGCTCAGGATGAAGATTAGAACTGATAGAAAACGTTTGGCATTGACAGATTTCAGCAAAAGGTGGGTAACTATGAGAAGCCTGGTTCGTGTGAATGTGGCTAGTCTTGATTTTCTTTTTTAAGTCACAATGGGGCAGTTTCCTGTGTAATGATACCCTGGTTAGGATATACTTTTCTTAAGTACCTAGTTAATGTGATTAAGTTTTGTTCCTGGCTTCCTCTTTCGTTATGATCCACGTCAAGATTCCCAACTTCTCTAGTTTTGGCCCATTTTTCATCTCAACTAGCTGGATAACTTCCTTGCCAGAGTATGAAGGTGTCATCTACATATCTCAGCCATAGAGGTGGCTTTAGTGATGTTGATTCTAATGCCATTTCCGCAAAATATTCCGTGTATATGTTAGCCATTGCTGGTGATAATGGCAATCTCATCAGAAAGCCTTCATCCTGTTGATATTCTGAAGTATGTTGTTTGTGTACAGAAGTCAGCATCTCCATCAGGTATTGGTATACTTGTACCTTCTCCTAGAGGTAAATCTGAGGCCATTCTGTCCATGACTACTGACAGTATCTACCTCTGTAAGTACCTTGGTGAACAAACTCACCAATTCCAGGTGGTTGGATTGGATGGGCACATTGTGAATATGACAATAAAGATGAGGACAACAGTTTGAACAATGTAAATAAATTTATTATTTATCATTTTATAAAGTTTGAATCAATTGGACAATGTTTTGCCAACCATTCCAATAAACAATATAATAAATGGCGTTTATTATTTTCATTGTCAATTCTCAAAAACAAAGAAAATGTATAAATTCACTTTCATATGTTTAGGTTTTATTATGATTCTAATAATTGTTTTTTTAAACAATAAACATTGACAAAGAATGAAGGTAGAAAAATAAAAGTGGTATCATGGGAAAAACCATCCTTTTGACACTTTTTTGTGAGCATGAAGATTCGCATTTGCCAACCAAGATTTAGGGAAAATGGAAAGAGAAACCTATACTTTTTCTAAGAAATTTCAGCTGTCTTTCTGAAATTTCTAAGGCAGGGCTTGGAAAATTTGACACTCACAGGACATATTGAAGGCAAGAGGGACAGAGAAAAGCAGCAAATAACCTATCTAAGTAAATGTTTGGGAGAACAGGAATTAGGAGAGATAGCAAAGAGCTACAAAGGACAGGAAGTTGTGAAGAACCATGATGATGACACATCTTGAAAGGACATGGTACATAGAAGAAATTGGTAGTCAATTGCATTTAGGTTAGGAATTTAAAGTAACTTTTGTTAGAAGAGTTTGAGGGACATTTAAAAATAAGTGTGAAACATTTGCCTAATCTCTTTGAAAAGAGTACAACTTATTTAGACACTTACCTCCAAAATCGATGTACATAGAAATACAACCAATTCATTTTCCCATTATTTGCTTTCATTAAATGCATAACTCCATAAACAACGAGCAATCCACTACAAAGAGAAACCAACAAGTAAAAATTGAATAAATGCAACAGAAATACAATGTAAAAGGAATGCATAAAATGTGAATTTCTATATAGGAAGGAATCAATTTTACACAATATAAATAATTACCTTAGCATGAAGAATGTGTCCACAGAGACTGTAGCATTTCCAATTGCTTGGAAAGTGAATCGTGATAATAGATTAGAAGCATCTTTTGAATTACCTGTAACAGAGATAAATATTTCATGTTAATGCATAAATGTGAGTAAATATCTTTCCAAGAAGCAATTCAAAATTTCTTGGAATTTTAGCCATGTATGTGCATCAACTGCATTATGGTGTTTTCTTGTGCATTATGCTTTGCTTTATACTGAAGTAGCATTATATATATATATATATATATATATATATGGAGAGAGAGAGAGAGAGAGAGAGAGATAGGTCTCATTGACAATGACTAAGATTTTATTATATTTTTTGTAGGAGAAGCTGTCGATCCACGCAGGGCATGAAACCCAAAAGATTCAGGGAGTTGTTATGGGATTGGTTTAGCTAATTGGTAATTAGTATAAAGAGAGCTATAACTATAGCTCATAGACAACTTTAAGTCAGTGTACATAGAATATCTATGGCTACTAAGTTTGATTATCATAATATTTTTCTTGCATGAGTACAAGAGAGTCCTTTTTGTGATATAGAGCATGTGCAAACTGTCCAAATGATCTTTGGGTTTGAGTGCATTCAGCTAAACTATCAGCCATTAAAAAGGATGGTCTTAATATGTAGATGTGATGGTAATATTTTTGGCAACAGAATTGTTTTAATTGCCAAAAGCAGTCAGCATAATGTGGCTATTTTCATAATATTACTAAGAGTTGGTTTCTGGTTTTATTATTAAGGGTTCCATTATTTTTAAATGTTTTCTGCAGTTAGATGAGTATATTATGTTGCTGTTTTCTATGAGTACGTTGCAGATTTATTCATGTTGAAAGGTACCCATGAATGTTTGATGTTGCATTCTGAAATCATACAGGCATAAATGAATAATAGGGACAGGACACAAAACTGTCTGAGAAAGTAAATCTAAAATGGGGACACTTTGCAAAAGTAAACCTAAAATCAGTACACTCTGGGAGAGTAAATGTAAAATAAGTGCACTATGGGAAAGTAAATCTAAAATCATTACACTCTGGAAAAAGTAAATCTAAAATCAGTATACTCTGGAAAAGTAAATCTATGTAAGCATTCTGAAAGCGAAGGAAATATTTGTCGCAGATTAATTCCATGACGCAAAGAACAAATCACTGTAAGTTCGGACTTGAATATTGGGGACAGAAAGAAATGCTGAAAACTCAATTTGCAGGTACTATCTCACAAATCCCAATGCATGTAACTAGTTAAAAAAATAACTCACTCTCCAATGAATGCGGTAGCCAAAATACATCAATTTTTCCTTCCCGATTCGAGAACACCAACTGTTTTTATCAGCTGAGCATTTTTTCCATTTGTTGACAACTGGGAGAGAACGCCAAATTTTTGCATATCAAAATACTTTTATAGAGACTCCTGCAATGGACTTGTTTTTAATCTGAATATTTTGTTTTCAGTATGTCATGTGGAATACGTGCCCTTTTTATTGTGAAGTAATTTTCTTTTCCATTGTAGGATACACGTGATGTGCTGTCACTTGGTTTGATGAAGTAAGACGCCGTTTTCTTTGCTATACTCCCCTCTGATCTCATTATCACAAATTGGAGCATCTCTCTTTATCCTGGTACTTCATTGTTATGGAACTATCTCCCTTACATGTGTCGGAGAGTCATCTCCTGAGGAGTCATCAGATGTATCTCGAGTTTCCGGAATCCCTGCATCTGTGGAAGCATCGGATTCGCAGATCTCAATTATCCAATCACTGTCAGACAATGAACCATCATTGGATTCGCTTGGCGATGTATCAGAATCAATAAAAAGGTGAAGATCTTTTACATGCCGTGGCATCCTGTTGACTATTGTTTGTGGACTTACAATGTCTGTCACATGACCTACTTGATACCTGGAGGTACACCAGCCATGAGGAGCTTTTACCCATACTCTGTTCTCAACTTTGTATATATCGTGATACTTACAATGATCAGGTGGTAATGTTGTAGCAATTCCCTTCACTTTCAGTTGGTAACGGTGAATCATATTGGCAGGCACATTAGTCAACGATATATCATCTTTCACCATGATATTATGCCAGTATACTGTCTCCGTTATCGAATACTGCTTTCTTGCTGCAATTCTCTTTATGCTCTGATGAGATCTTTCCACTATACTGTTTCCTGCAGGAACATAGGCACAGCGAAAACGAAGTTGAACTCCCCAGTCATCCAAGAAATCTTTAAAGGACTTACTGCGAAATGCAGTGTCATTGTCAGTCAGGATTTCTGATGGTGGGCCTCATTCAAAAAAAATATTTTCCAATTGTTGAATGATGCTTCTTGAGTCTTGTTGAAGCAGGCGTCGCCATATTGCAAATTGACTGGGGCCACAATCAATTAATGTAAGGTAGTGTTGCCCACCGTAATGCGTAATATCCATTCCTAAGTGGGTCCAGATTTCAGTCACACTTAAGTTGCTATGAGGCCAATGACTTGAGGCTGGGTCAATTGACTGGCATTCTTTACATTTTCTGACCACTGCCTTGATGGCTGCCTTGGATGTCATAGGGTAAACTCATTTCACAAAATACAGTGTTCACCTGATGCCAGGATGTCCACTCTGGTAATGTATGGCACGTATCTGATCAGAAGAGGTTTCGTTCACTATGGAAGCGCATATTGGGTGTATTGGCTCGATTTCCTTCTTGATCACATCATACCATCGTTGCAGTACTCTGGTGAGCTTATCCGCTAGATACTCACTCGACATTACTAAACTTAATGTAATCAATAAGTTATACTCTTGAATCAACTTTTCAAGAGTACTCAAACACCTCCAGATCAGCATCTCACTTGCCACCTTAGTTCGTATTCTGGCTTTGCAGACTGCAGCCAAAACGTGCCTTCTACAATGCTTCCGTCAACCTCCAATGAAACCCCTGTGGCGAGAGAACTTGCATCGTCCCATACCTCATAAGCGTGTCCACTTGTGCACCACTTACTGTGTGCAGGGTCATTCTGGCGTATTCTTTCCGCTATGTCCTCAATCATGTTCTTAAGGGGAGCATCAGTCACTTCGTCGTCCCAACCAGACGTGATCAATACTGTCCTGCATTTTACAAATGATGCAGCAACACGAAGCCACCCACACACATGAACGTGACCCACCAGTTTTCCACACCACAAAAAGACACTACATCATGTCAGGACCTCAGGAACTGATGGAATGCCATTTCTACATTTCCACTTAAGCGTGTTGTTATCTTCCGCAACATGCAAACCCATCCCGTAACCACTCTGGATCCTGGCAGGTCAAACCAAATGCAGCCAAGTGCTCCTTCACATGAGCTGCTGAAATCATGCTCTCGTCAACATAAATATCATCAATATATGATGAGGTTGCCCGTTGTGACGGTTACACCCTGGCCCAGTGTCGGATCGCTTTGGTTACGGCGCCAACGGTGACGCCGCCTCCTGGTCGCTTCCTCCTGGGTCCAAGTGCCCGCTCCAACCCTTTGGTCAGATGATCACCAGCCTCGCCTTTCCCGACTCGCTTCCAATACCTGGTCACTAAAGCAACATACTGAATCTCCGGTCTGTCTACCCACGCTGTGTTTAGATCTTAGACAGACGGGACCAGCAGGATTTGGGCGATACAAAAGTCGAAGTCCGACGGGGGTGGCAAAACACAAATAAAAACAAAAACTCACGACACTAAACAAAATTGCTGATAAAAAAAGGGTAACAACCTTTTATATCTTAATGTCCGTTACATAAAAAAAACAAAATTGTTCTCAATTCCCGACCCGCTCTGTGGACTATGGCACCAAGCTTCTATCACACAATAGAAAAAATGTCGAGATTACCTACTTTCTAGAATCATGTATGTATGTCGGTGTGGTTCAGTTCGACACTGGGGCTAATTTCTATCGATCATTCGCAGTTGATTCTTCTCTCCGACTTGAGTTGTATTTCTTCTTCTTCTCTGCTTGGGCTGGTAGTTTTCCTGTTTCAACTTGGTGGAAGATTTCTTGTTTCAACTTAGCCGCAACTCTCTGTCGTCTGAGGTGGTCTCTTCTCACTGCCGTCCGGGCTGAACTTTAACTTCTCATCGACTTTCGGCTTGTCTGCATCTCAATTCTTCTCAGGCTTTCAGGCAATCTTCTTCTTCGTCTACTTGGGCTGGAAGTTCTCCTGTCTTTTCGACTTGGGCTGGAAGGATTTCTTGTCTGAGGATTCTTCTGCCCGCAAAAGGCGAGTGAATCGGGGCCTGATGGCCGTCTGTTCAGGCTCTATCCCTGCCCGCATGTCCAACTCTCAACTCAACTGCAACTCCAACTCTACTGATTTCTGTCGACTGGGGTCCTGCTTATATTGACGCCGAACAAACTGGGGTGGGTCTGTCGGCGTCAGGTTTTCTCGATAATTCCAAAAAGTCTGCATTATTTTGATTTCTCATTATCGCTATTGTTTTCACCCCTACTTCCTCATAGTGCTTTTTGGTGGGGAGGCGACATCCATCTCTCTTGGTCTCGTATGTCAGGTGACCGCTTTTCAACTAATGAGATTCTGATCGAGCATTTCTTTCTTCGCACAGAAATCAGGTTCTTCTATTTTAATAGTGGCACAACTATCCCATGCTTCGGAAAATGTACATCGCCACACTCAGTTATTTGGAGTCTGCCCAACTTTTTAATGGTGTCAAACCCAAGCAACAAGTCAAAACCCAATAGCTCTCCATCCACTACCAAGACTTCGATTTTGAGGGGGTTTGCATTGTCCACGTCAAGCTTAATACTTCCAACTCTGCAACATTTCCGTTTATGGTGAGTATGTTCACCTCTGTCTCCCACCAGGATTGACCGGCTGACTTACTCACGAGTGTCTCTGAGCAGCCAGTGTCCACCAGTGCCACTCTCTCAATTCCATTCACGTAAATACCCATTCATAACTCACTCAGACCGGCGCTGATGTCTTGTCCTCTTTTCCCTGGATTCAATGAAGCAATGTGGCCTACTTCTTGACACTGGAAGTAACACGTTGTGCATGACCTGTGTCGCTGACGGGCATCTTCTTGTCGAACCGGACAGTCCCTGGAAAGGTGATTCCACCCAGAGCATCGATATCATCTGATACCACTCCGGCGACATTTAACATTTTCTGTTTTATCAGCTCCGCCTGGTGAAATGGTAGCTGCAACCATTTCCTCAGTTGCAATTGATCTTTCATTATGGCTGGCTTCCGGTCCAACAGTTCTTTGTATTCATGTCTTCCATTCTGGAAGATTATTAATAGTTTCTAACTAATGTCGCTGGCAACTCTGCTATGAACCCACATGCTAGTCCTTGCTCGGATATCCCGCCAAATACACCTGCTAGCTTCTTCAAGTCAGCTAGAAACATGTTGATGGATTTGTCTTCTTCAGTTGGCGTTCCACAAATTGCTTGTAAGCCAAGAAACAATCCTGTGCAAAGGCAATCTGCAGGGCTTGTTTTATCTGCTCGACATCTGATTTTTGCTCCGAGTTTAACTGTGGGTAAACAGCAAACGCTCTGCCCGTCAACCTCAGAGGAAGAACACGTTCAACCTTTTTAATTCCACACAGGTCACAAACAAGTTCTGCCTTCTCAATTCTCAAGTAACTGCTTGTCCGGTCACTGAACCATCAAATGCTGGTATCAACTTGACATCAAATGTCTTGTCTGTCATAGTGCCGAAATAGCTTGTAAGTGATCTGGGATTGCAAAGAAAATGTTTGTTGCAGATTAATTCCACAACGCAAAGAACAAATCACTGTAAGTTCAAACTTGAATATCGGGGACAGAAAGAAATGCTGAAAACTCAATTCACAGAAACTATCTCACAAATCCCAATGCACGTAACCAGTCAGAAAAATAACTTACTCTCCGATGAATGCAGTAGCCAAAATACATCAATTTTTCCCTCCTGATTCCAGAATGCCAACAGTTTTTATCAGCTGAGCATTTTTTCATTCGTTGACAACTGGGAGAGGATGCCAAAATTTTATAGAGACTCCTGCAACAGACTTGTTTTTAATCTAAATATTCCATATTCAGTATGTTATGCGGAATACATGCCATTTTTTTGGTAAGTAATTTTCTTTTCTGTTGTAGGATACATGCAACATGCTGTCACTTGGTTTGTCAAGGTAAGTCGCCATTTTCTTCAGTACACTCTGGGAAAGTAAATCTAAAATCAGTGCACTCTGGGAAAGTAAATCTAAAATTTATTTTGTTTTCTTTGACTCAGTCTATTTCTTTGTCGTTTTTGTTTTGAGATGTTTGTGTTTGATGAAGCATTTGTTTTATTGCTTTAGTAGACTTTATATTACCTTCAGAATAAATATTTTGGAAAAATTTCTATCCAAATTTTTCAAGTCGCAGTAAAAAAGAAACTATAATATAAGATTAGTTTTAAATTGAATGAAAAATAGGGAAACATTCAATTAGACACTAAAAATTTTGAAAATACAAAAAGAAGAATAAAGAAATATCTTACTCCAAACAGACATTCCAAAAATATAAGTATGTCCAAGGATGACCCACGTCATACTAATAAAACGTATTCCGTGCACTGATGACAAGCTGCCTTTTGGTAAGTCAGTTTTGAAAAGTTTTGATGCATTCTTATAAATGGAAAAGCAAAGGAGAAATTGTTCAAACCAACCTGTAAGAAAAATATTGTATATACAGAAATGACTAAATAAATACAAAGTAATAATTCAGTGATGAGAATTAAAACTATTGTAGAGTTCTAAAGTAGAATTAATTTGGTTTCAGATTGAATAAATGAATGTGCTTTCATGGTACATAAATTTTTATAGGTTGTTTAATATTAGTAAAATAAAGTTTATTTGAAAGTAATTGAATGTCTTTTTTATACAAATATAGTTATTCCTCTTTCATTCAATTTGTAAAAGATGATTCATTGGAAAAATTCTTTTAATTTTCTTTCTTGTGTTTTTTCATAAAGTGTTGCACATGTGTTACTTGGAAGTATCTTGGGCAAATTGTTAGGCTTAAGTTTTATATTTTTAATCTTATTTCTTTCTTTAGTTATTTTAGAGTTGTAAATAGGATGCCAAAATCAGCAAATAAAAATACAGGATACCCTGTTCAATTTTCAGCACCAATGATTTCTAATAATATTTTTTGTTATATGTTTGTCTGATGCAATAATATTATCTGATTATTTAATAGGTCTGTATAGTAAAATTATGGACATATGGCTGGGTGATTAGAATGTTTGCTTTCTGACCATGAGAACCAGGTTCAAATCTCACCATGATCAATTTGTCAGGAAGGTGACTTCTTGATATTATCAGTCTGGAGGAGACAATTCCAGTGTGCAGCACCTTTTGAAAGTGCCTGAAAACCATACCATGGTTTGACCCAAGCCTTGAAAGTGAAAGTAGGTAGACAGAAACCTAGAGAATCGTAGGAGCTTGTGTTAGCACAAAGTCACATGTCATCGTGATTGAGGATTTGTTCAGAATGTGGATTATGCTAGATAACATGCTCTTACCCAGAAACTGTAACTAAGGTCCTCTCAGCATAGTTGCAGTATAAACCACAAGTGGGCTCTATGGGTGTTGAACAAACACAATTGCAACTGGTGTCTGCAATGGATTTTTCCTAAGCATCCTAGTAGACTGGCAACCTCTAATACGAGTGGCTGCTCCATTTAGATAGACAAATTAGAAATAACTGGTTTTAAATTTGAACAGAATATCCTGAATTTCTACTTATCAATTTTGGTAACTCTAATTATTAAGTGCAAGTAGGGCAATAGGAGGCACAGTGGAGTAATCGATAGTGGCTCAGATTGAGGAATTGGAGAACTGAGTTCGAATTCCAGTCAAATCCATTACATTCACTTACATGCTAATACCCTTGGGAAAGGTATGAATCCCTCTTCTCTCCACCTCTTCTCCAGGTTCTATAGCCTTGGATGGCAACTGGTCTACTGCAGAAAGAAATGGCAATCTACTGCAGGAAAAAATCTACCTCGTCAGTCATGTATCGAAAGATACATGATGCATAAGCATGTATCATGCATGGCATATAACTGACTGAGTGTAATGGACATCAGCACAGAATGACAGACTAGTTAGTTGTGTTCCATTTTGTATTAATGCCATTGGGAAAGGCAGTTTCTTGTAACCATTAGCTAGGGGTTAATTAGTAAGGTAGACTGCACTCTTTATCCATGGGTGGCAACCAGTCTAAGAGAAGGACAACTTTAAACAAATTGTGCTGACAGCAATGAAAAACTACTCCAATATCTTTCCCAAAAAGGCTTGGTAAGTCACAGATAATAAAGAAAATGAATCTGTGAAGAGTCATTATCACCTATGTCCTGAATGAACATGGCATTAAAAAAAAAAATAAAACATCTTTAAATTAATTTTTTATGGTTATCAGTTCAAACAAAATATAAATTAAATTGAATCAAGAATTGAATTAAAGGAAAACATTTTCATCAAGAGATGTTTTTGTTTTCAGAACTTACTGAGTGTTTTATTTGGTGGTATGATTGGTTTCTTATCCTGGTCAACAATAGGCTCAAATGATATTTTTTTTTTTTTTTAATAAGTTAAATTTGTGAAAATAAAGTTGACCATTCTGTTGTTTTCAACTTCTGAATTTCATCTCAAAAGTTGAATTAGATAATATCATTTCAAGTCCCAATCAAAAATTGGAGATTCAATAAATATTGAAGAAAAAACTTTTCTTCTGCAAAATTTTTTCAAAAGTGAAACCATTAACCTGATAAGAATATTTTTAACCTTGTAAGTTATATTTTTCTTGTTGCAGTAATGAAAATAGCAAAATGTTAGTGTATGTTTGAAACAGTTCTATTTTCATACAACTCAATATTTACAATATAACTAAAAATATATATATTCATAAATGTGTTAAAATATCATATTAATTTAAATAAAATATCTTAAAATATGAATGTGCACATTTGGCAAAAATTTATACAATCATTTAGTACTTGTCATATGCAAATTTATTTCATCTTTACAAACAGATTCATGGCAGCAAACAAGTTAAGATTTATATTGCTGGGTTGACAAAAGTATAAGAGCAATAAAAAGAAAATTCAAAACCTAAGGTAAACCCACTTGTAAATAAAAATGCCCACCCTGATACAAAAGGTTATCTCCCCCTTTTCCAACAACACATGAGATGAAGTCACTTTTGTTATATGAAACTCTTTAAATGCCTATATATATATAAAAAAAACTTTCGTGTGTGTAACAAAACTTTTCATCTTATTTTTATTACCATTCAGAAGATGTGTTGTTTTTTTCTGCAAACAAATAATAAAAACTAAATCATTTAACATGTAATTTTATATAGGGACTTGTCATTCTTAAACTCTCTCTGAGAACAAAGTATGTTTATCATTCTTTTTCTCTTCAGCCATTCCATTCCATCTGAAATATGGTGTTATTATGGTGGATATGATAATGCCAATAATGGGGTAATTACAAATGGGAGAATATTCAGTTCTTCCATAGATCACCTTTCTTCCCATAAATAAATTCTATTATATTTTTTTGCCCATTAAAAAGAAAAGACAACTTTGTTTTTACATTTTGCATTGGCAATACATATTTTAGAAATATTTTTTGTGAGACATCAAGGTTTGTTAGTCAATGAAAATATATAACTCAAAATTTACATAAAAAGAAATAATTTAATGAAAAATTTAGATAATAATGAAAGAAATAGATAATTATTTATATTAAGGTGTCATCGTACACTAGTTTGGAAAGATTTGTTCTAGACAAAAGGGCCAGTGTGGTTAGAGTGCATCAATAATGGTTTCTGGCTAAATTTAATTTATTATTCTTTTCGTTTGGAGGGGGTTTCAAACTGTTTACTGATATGACAAGTAGGAAAATCCCATTATCTTATTGGTGAGAAACACTCCGCTCTATATACTATTATATATATAATTACCACTGTTGCTACAGAAATACTAGAGTCAGTGAGAAAATACTAAGGAATATTAATATGCCAATTAAAAATAGAAATAAAGAGAAAAGAGACAAAATGAAATCTTTACTCTTTTCTTTAACTGGTAAATAAAAAATAAACAACTTACAAAGAGAAAATTGCTTTTATACTGTAGGCTTGCTTTTGGGGACATGTTACATAAGTGTTTATGCCCTTTTTGATATGTATTGGTAACAAATGGATGCCTGAAAATTAATAAAAAATGTTTTTAGGCCTTGGAGATGTAGCAAAATTAAAACTAATAATTCTAAAACAGAATGTTAAAAAATAATGTTAAATGAAAACTTAAAAAAGAGTAAAGTAATACATATAAGCGAATAAATCCTAATAGAATAAGATCAAATTCCAATTTGACATGTGAAAATAATTTCATACAGACACAAATATACACACGACCATATATATATAGGCATATAGACACCCAACCACATACACACACAAATGTGTGTGTATATATATATATATATATATATATATACATATACAATACCATAGAAATAAATATATACAAATAGCATAGATATATAAAAAATATACAGAATGACACAGATATACATAAATATGTGCACAATAACTATATATATATATATATATATATATAAACAGATATATACATACACAATAACATATTTATATACATACAAAATAACATATATAGTGTATATATATATATATATATTATATATATACAACAAAGATATATATATATATATATATATATATACACACACAACAAAATATATATATATATATATATATATACACAAAAATATATATATATATATATATACACAAATACAGATATAATATATATATATATATAACAAAAGATATATATATAGAAATATATATATATATATATAACAAAGATATATAGAAATATATATATATATATATACAACAAAATATATATAGAAATATATATATATATATATATATATGCAACAAAGATATATATATAGAAATATATATATATATATATATATACAACAAAGATATATATATATGTATGTATATATATATAAGATATATATATATATATACAACAATATATATATATATATATATATATATATATAGATATATATATACAATATGATATATGTATATATATATATATATTATATACACAGAATATATATATATATATATATATATGTATATATATATATATATATATGTATATATACATTAAAGATATATATATATATACATATATATATATATATACACAACAATATATATATATATATATATTATATACAAACAATATATATATATATTATATACATATATATACACAACAATATATATATATGTGTACAACAATATGTATATATATATATATATATATGTGTACAATATATATATATATATGTATATATATATATGTATATATGAAATTTTAAAAAAATAAAAATTAATAATATATTTTAATTTGTTATTTTAAAAATTTTTAATAAATTAAAAATTATTTTTATATCACGAAGTAAAATTATATTTTAATTTATTGACTATGTATTTATATATTTATATCACAGTAAAAATTAATATGTTAATTAAACTAAAAATATAATAATAATAAATATATTATTATAATAAAATAATAAAAATTTTTAATAAAAATGTATTTTAAAAATTTTATACACAAATAATAATATATTTTTAAAACACAATTTTTTATTTTATATACAAACAATGTAAAAATTTTAAAATTTTTTGTATTATTATTTTTATGCACAAAATATTATTATTTTATATGAAAATTTAAATAATAATATATTATATATTTTTATATACAAAAATAATATATATTATTTTAAAACAATATTAATATATATATATTTTATTTTATAACAACAATATTATTTTATTTTATATAAAAATAAAAATTTTTTATACACAACAATATATTAAATATTAAAAATTTTGAAATTTTTTTCTTTATTTTTATATAAATTTTTATTTTGCCAACAGAAATTTTTTAATAAAAAATTATTTTTTATTTTTATGAAACCCAATAAAAATTTATTTTTATATTTATATACCAAAAATAATAATATTTATATGTTATATGCAAAATATATTATTATTATTTTAAAAATATATAAATTATATTATATTATTTCAAAAATATATAATAATATTTATAAAAAATTATATTATTATATAAAAAAAAATATATATATATTATATAAAAAATTTAAAAAAATAATAATAAAATATTATATTTATTTTAAAACAATATTATTATATATATTTTTAAAAATTAAAAATTTATATTATATTTTTAAAAAAATAATAATTTTAAAATTTTATATTAAAAATAAAAAAAAATATATTTTATAATAATATATATATATATTATTTTTAACAAAAAATATATATATATTATATATATTTTTAAAAACAACAATAATAATATATATATATATATTATATAAATAATATACAAAATCTATTACATATAATATATATATATATATATATATATATATGTATATACATCAATGTTTTGAATAAATTATATATATTCTATAATACTTACAAATTTTTGTTATGATAATTAAGTATGATTTTTATATACATATGTATGACAATAACATACAGTATGTATATATTATATATCATTAATTTGTATACTAATCTTTATAATACATTTGATAATATATAGTTTATATATATATACAATATATATATATATATATATAATACAAAAAATAACATTATAAATATATATTAATTACTGTAATATATATATTATATATATATATATATAATGTATATATATTATATAATATATATATATATAATGTATATATATATATATATATATATATATATGTGAATTATATATATATATTATATACATGTAATATATCATTATATAATATATGTATACACATGGTATATATATATTATATATATAATATATATATTATATAAGTAATATATATTACTGTGATATATACATATATAATATATATATATTGTAATATATATTATATTATATATATATATCATTATATATATAAGATATATTATGTATATATTATAAGTATATCATTATTATATATATATATTATATTATTTATCATTATAAATATATATATATATATATAACTATGTATATATTACATTATATATATATATAATATGATATGTAATATTCATTATATATTTTTTTATTTTAATTAAATATTTTTTTATAATTAATAATAACAAATTTATAACTTTTAAAATAAATTTTAAAATTAATGAATTTTAAATATAATATATATAAATTTTATAGATTTTTTAATAATAATAAAAATATAATAATAATATTTTCTTATTTATTAATTTAAAATAATTAACATATTTGATTTTTTTTTTTTTTAAATATATATATATATAT